ATCCTCATGAGAGTCATGATAATTATCATCATAATCATCATCATCAGTATCATCACTATCATCCTCATTATATCTATCATCATCATCGTCATTATCTTCATTATCATTCCCATGAAAATCACCTCCTCATCATCAATATCATAATCACTGATCATTGTCATCACCATCACCACCACTACCACCATCATCATAATCACCATCACCATCACCATCACCATCACCATCACCATCACCATCATCATTATCATAATCATAATCATCATCATCACCTTTTATTTTAGAAAGTGACATTATTTTTGTAGGGGTGGGGGCGCTCATGAGTGATATGGCTGTCTCCTTTTGTGAAGTCCAAAGTCAAATCTTTATGACCTGCAGTATACCGCTTAGCATGGCTTCCATTTACCACATATGCATTCTGTTGAATTTTATTTCAATTTTGTATGTGCTTGTATGATACCAGTTAAATGTTGTGGCAAAAATGTCTAAACACCTTCTCACGTATGACCCCAGTCCTGAGGATAAATTTCTCAACAAATATGAGAAGAAAAAGTGGGATTTTATCAGCGAGATGTATAACGCACCAAATTTGCCTTTACCCTATATTTACCTTTAAAATAAAACTAATGACTTAGTTCTTAATTAACTAGAAGTTTTACTCTGTATATAATATAGGAACCAGTGGCATGAAAGAGATGCATTATAATACTTTGTGGGCCTACCTTCATCCCCTTTTTGTGCAACTAAGCTGAACTTGTAGATTTCTTTTCAAATAAAATGATGTCTCCATCTGTTAGAGGGAAGTTTGGAATAGAAAGTAGATGCAGTGTGCTCATTGTGCACATTACAAGAAGATGTGTTGGTACATGTATTTCTTCTAAGAAAAGTGGAAATGTTGTCACTAATAATCATGGAATTTCATATCATCAAAATTAGTTCTCTTATTATTTCCCAGTGATTACTTTGTAAAATCAATAACTATTTCTTGATTGCAATCTCAATCAGTAGTGTGATATGTCAGGTATTTTATTATAGTGGAAAAAATATCCACCAATGTCTGATTGTTGCCAACTTGTCATCCTAATTAATATCATTATCACCCTTTTAAGGATCTTTAAAACAAATTAAGTCTATTAAGTATTCTGAATATTTGAACAACTTCCTTAATGGGTCAATCAATGAATAAATTTGCTTTGTTATCCTGATAACCTTTTTAATGATTCATATTTGAATCAATTATTTTCTTGATATTGATTTTGTAATAAGTTGAGTTTTTTGTTTAGTTTTTTTTTCTTTCGTTAAGTCAATATGCATTCTCATTATCCATATGTAAGTTTGTATGATTAAGAGCCATCATTGACAGATTAAAGCAATTCTTCTTCTCAAAGTCTACCATCATTAACAACTAAAATTATAATTTGCCCACACGTAAATGATAAGTACACCAGTTTAGATTCTAGAGCGGATAGCAAAAGCAGTTAACCTTTTCTGTTGCAATTTAAAGGTGCAATTTAACATTTCGTCATGGCTTTGTGAAAATTATTGGGTTTATTATTTATCTTACTATACATAAAAAGTCCCTGAATATCGTAAAACAAATCATCAATGCTTATTTTATTTCATTTTTTTTAAAAGAAAAAAAATTACTTTGATTTTAAACAAGAATTCTCTTTAATGCAAATAACTTGATAGTCATAGATCTTATCATAAGGACAGATATATCATTGTTACTATATCAAATAATCTTGCTTTACATTATTCAATTTCAACTGATTTTTAACACAAATTTCTACTACCAAACGTTGCACATTACCTGTTAATGGTTTGTCACTCCCTTTGGCGATTGGCTTTCTGCCGATTTCTTTAAGGGTTTAAAGGGATCGTTTAACAATGTTAAATCTGAGATACACGGCCCTACGTGTTATCAGTTTCTTTAATATGATGTAATATTGAAGCCCTAAAAAAATTGCGCTTCAAAATGATCAAGAAGTGCCTCAAAAAAGTAAAAATCTTTGAGTGACCGGTTTTACCATACTCGATTTCCCCAATAGACTGTAGTGTTATGAAAACCGTCAGGCGAACGGTTTTCAAAATTTGTAATTCCAATCATAAATATCTTGATAATCAGACAGGCGATCGGCTTGTAAAAGTCATGGGGTTCCTGACTGACCTAAAGGTTTATAATTTTCATTGCATCATGAGCTAAATCCAGAATTTTGTTTCAGAATCTGAGACAAAGTTACCAGATCCCTTTAAGGGTATATACATGTATGTATGAGATAGTTATGCAATACCTCCAACTCTCCCAGTTTGACATGTAAGCAATAGTGTACTCCTCCATTACCTGATGCATAGGATTAAAGGGATAGTTGAGTTCTTGTGTCAGATCGCAAATGTTCTCAAAGTGCATGGTTATTGCTCTTATTCTTATTGATGACATTTCTGGTGCCCTTTTAGAACCTAAAATTGCTATGAAGATAATTTTAGACCCCAAAATGTGTGAAATTTAGCCAATAGGATTATACCAATTCAGCTCTGCTTTCAAAAAAATACAGTGACTGTTAATTAATTAATTAATTCATGATAACAATTTTATAGGCCGGCTGGTTGTGCCTATTATAACCAACACTAAAAAGCCAACAAAAAGCTGACATCGGCATTGGCTGGAATAAAACGTATGAGTCCCTATTTCGTTTTTTCATCGGCTTTTTCAAATTATCTAATATTTGTGGTGGTACACAAATATTTTTTATAGTTTTATTAGTTATATTTATGGATATTTCAGCCGTCTCTGAACCGATTTTGATCAAACAAAGATGTTTTGTCAATTAAATTGTATGTTCTTTCAAATTTGACACTCAGTTTTTCATTATCTCACAAAAAATTATTTTGTGTAGTGCCCTCTGCAACAGAACTCGACTATCCCTTTGATTGTAATACAGAACAACCCCTCTTTGTTTTTAATTCCACCTTAAAATTAAAACATCCAGGTATTGCTTAAATTACCCAATGAAAATGTTAATTGTTTTTTGTAACAGATGTTTACCTTTACTGTTTCCTTAAGACTTGCAACTTTTTCTTATCAGCAAAACTCTTAATAGCTTTTCAGGTGTTCGATTCAATTTTTTAAATGACTAATTCCATACATAGAGAAAATGTTGCCATCAGACTATAATGGGCTATTAAAGATTAACACCACAGCTATGTGGTAATTGAGTTGGTATTAATCTACAAACTTGAGGGCCATTAGGATAAGATTAATGATGCGTTAGCGGTCGTATGGGTGGGTTTCTACTCTGAGTTTAGGGTAATAGGTTTGTTTTGTGTTCTTTCAAATTCTTATCTTTGTTGACAATGTAATTATGATGGTGTTGTTAATGATTACATATGTATGGACTGACTGTATTACCTAGAAAAGGCTAGGAAGGAGGGGGGAGGACAGAGCATGTCAGTCTCTTGTTCCTATTCATTCTGAAATATTTCTATTCCAAATGCAGGATGTCTATCATGCTACATAACTTTATTTTTTCTGGGGAAAGGGGGTATTTTAGCAGTATTTTTAGGAAAAGGAAAGACCCTTCATTTGCTGGCAAGCCTGGCATCATTTCTAACTTAAAAATTATGCTTACCTAATCAAATATGACAACAGGATTTTTTTTATCATGTACTTAATAAAAACAATGGTGAAATATGCTGCATTTATGATTTTGAAATGCTATTGAATCTTAAAAGCAAAACAATTTTTGCCTACTGAAACAAATATGAAAAAGTTGCTGTTATCATATACTGAAAATAGATGTGAAATATGCTACTTTGAAGATTTTGAAGTGCTTTTTAAGCAAGGGCCGGAGACAATCTGGTAGTTAAATTTGAACCAAATATTCCTCTCAAATCTCTCCTACTCCTAATATGAGAGGGATGTAGCGAACGATACACATGTTGCAACATCTCATGTAGATATAATTTCTTGGAATCTTAAGAAATTCAAGGCACTGTTCATATACTCTGTTTTTCAAAATTAACAGTTGGGTTGTTTTTCAAATGGATAAAGATAGAAAGTTTAATCGAGATTGAACTTTATCAGGCTTCCTGCTTGTGAAAAGAATCTGATATTTCATCACAGATAGGAAATTAAAACAACCGTATGGAATTGATTATTGTAATGAGACCTGGAGAGGATGAAGTGATAGATATATTTAGGAGCAATTTGGTAACGGGAAGCAAACTTCAGAAGGATGTTTTTCTGTACCACGTTGAACGATATCAAGTTGAAAGATTCTGTTGAAAAAGTTGAACATTTCTATTTAAACAAAATTGTCTAGTTCCCCCATATCTTCCACTTCTTAGTATAAAAGGCTTGAAACAGTCTACTCAGTGTTACTTATTGACATGCAATTCAATTCCTCCTATGTCTAACTCTTGCCTCACTTTTTAAAGTAAGTTGTCCTCGTTTGTAATGGGCGTTCCCAACACAAGCATTTGATTTCCGGATTTCATCTCCTTCCGCTTTTTAAATTTATTTACTACACTGTTCTATTTGGTTATTGTTAACCATATTGTCAATAAGAAGGAGATAAATGTGCATATCTTTAGAAGTGTTATGACATAAAGGGAATAGATTTACAGAAATAGTTCAATTGACATATGAAGAGTTTAATTCCAAAATGAGCTAAATCCACTTTTGATGAAAATTGAGTTATTGATATCAGAACGTTGTTCACTTAAGTACCCATCTTTCAACAACAGTATTTACCTAAATTTTGGGAGCAATTATAAAAAAAATGCACCTTCTAATATCACTTTTCCGTAAACGCCTGTACAAAATCTGGTAAACAAATCCCTTTTTCTCTGAAGTTACAAAAATGGATTTAGCTCCTTTGGGAATTAAACTCTTCGTATACTCTCATGAAGGAATGGATACTTAACTTATTTACAAGGTTTCAGTAATATATTATCATAGCCTTGTCATGTTTTCTTTTCTTCTTTCCTCTTCCCATTCACAGTTGTATGGCCACTACGCATTCGCTACAAGTACAACTACCACTACACACGGTCAGAGCACCCCCATGTCTTGATATATCGCGAGACGTCCGTGTGAATGCTGGCCCTGAAGGAGTGGACCAATCATCTTTCTTTTCTCTCACCCAGTTCCATTTTCCTCTGTCCATATCTTTTCCCTTATTCATTTATCGATATGGAGGCTGAGTAGTATTTTGTCGTAAGTTTAGCTTTTAAAAAAGGCACCCCATTTATATGTCTTTCCTTTAATTGGCTATGTAAGAGGGTTGAATATGAATATGAAAATGAATTAATGTTTGATCAAAGTGTGCAACACAGTGCATTTATGTATCTTTTGGATAATAACCAGTTTCCAATATTTGTTAGCGCAACTGTGATTTACAGTGTACGTGATATTTTACAGCGTCGAGAGACTCTATGTTAAACAAACATCTCAATAATACGAACGTTGCAATAACCAGACAGTAAGATGGCCAAACAAACGATATTTGCTTGGAGTTCCCAGATTTTACGATTTTCAACCAGGTGTTTTCCTTTTACACCTGAGCTTACCTGATAGTGAAATCAGGGCTCTTTCACCAAACTTGATATTACAAAAAAAGTTACAGTAGCTGTTTCAAAGCTACTGAAATCAGTGCATTTGATTGGTTGCAAGTAAATTTGTTATAGAATTGTGACAGTTTTTACTGATACAAAGTTTCATGAAACAGGGCCCAGACCAGCTAACATGACAGTGTTTGAAAGCGGCAAGGCCCATATCATCGATAATTAGAACAATAGCCATGAATTTAAAACAATTTTCCAGAAACTTTAGGGGAAATTTCTGGAAAATTATTTTATATCCATCAATTAATTAAAAATCTGTGCTGAAGACTCATCAGCATAAACTGGTGAGCTAGGTCTGGGAAAATAAATATCCAATACGTTTTCCGCTTACATTTTTAGGAGAACTATTTTATAATTGTTATCTTTATATGGGCCTAGACCCTACGGACACTTTCAAATTAATGAATATGTATTATGCATCATCTTTCTATGTTATTTCTATTGTTATGACCAGTAAGTCTGATGTTTTTTAAAAGACTGGTTCCATTTGACTGATGATGATTACAATAATTATATCTAAAAATATGTCTTGATCCTGAAATTTTAAGAAAACGTATTGGATATTGTTGTTGCAGGTCCCATCTCATTGACTGGAGGCTCTTGAGTCTTCAGCACATTTTAGTCTCTGATCAGTGGCATATCAAATAACCTTTTCACCTAAACTTCAGGAGACTTTTAACACTTTATACAGGGACTGTTGGTACAGTTAACGTTAGTTTTATTGGTCAAATGGTATCAGCCCTTGAAGGGCTCTTAGGCCAAGGATTTGATTGTTAAAAAACTCTTTTAGTCTACAGATGAAAGAAAGCATTCATCGTTTTCAATTTATTCATCATTGTATTATGAAATAGACTTGAGAGAGAGAGAGAGAGAGAGAGCGAGAGAGAGGCTGGTGGATAAATGCAGAATAGGCTCGAAATCTGAGTATTAACCAGTTGTTGTTTTATTCAGAAATTTACTGTTAGGTGAAGAATAATGATAGCGCAGGTGCTCGGTTTGTAATATTTTAGGCAGAGAGATTAAAAAATATGTAAATTAAGTGAAACTGTAGCTTTAGTGGTTTCAATGCAGTTTATGAAATTATTGATGGGTCAATTTCTATGTATTCATGAGGTAACTCATTTTAGAAAAAGTTTAAGTAGGTGCTCTTTTGATAAATTGTATATTCTTTCAAGGTTTTATGAGTATTTTTATGTGCTTTCTCAAAATTCATTAGATTCTATGTCTTTCTCTTTCAAATTTTCCATTTCCTGTTTCGGCCCCTCTGTTTCTCTGTCTCTGTTACTTTGCTTATATTCTCACCTACATGTACACATACTGTTGTCACAAAAATCTTTGTACATTCATGAATTTCTTTCTTTCTTTCCTTCTTTCCTTCTCTCCTTCTCTCTTTCTTTTGTTCTCTCTTTCATGTCTCATCTCTTTGTAGATAAATACATCTTCTTCCTCTTCAAGACCCTGGATCATTTTGAATAGAGTAACTTATTGAAGCACAAAACTGTACACAGTTGTGGTATGCCTTATGTAATCTCACTGTATTCTCATATTTTCGTGTGAAAAAGGGCACTGAGTTTTTAGAAAAAATGATTTTGAGCTACCAGAATAGCAGAAAAGAAGGAGCTCTGTTTTGATAACTGCATACTTAGCTGGTTTTATATCTATATTGTAGAAAGGACTTTTATATACCACATTGAACATAGAGTAAACTTGTACATTATATAATCCTGTGCAATAATTATCTTTAACCTTATGATAGTTATATGTATTATGTAAGTATATTTTGACGTGGTTGTTGAAATAATGATCGCAACTGCTGTTCGTTATATGTATTTATCAGTTAAAAGTCAGCCTTTTTTATCATATCAACAGGCTGTCCTGGTTGTTGTTGTTGTTTTTTTAATGTGAAAACTACAGTTATATGGTTTTATCAAAGGCTTTTTATTTATTGAATTAAGTGGTTTTAACTCAAAAGCAAGATGAGTGCACCTATTTTTGCTGCGTGTATCTTATTTTGCTGGCTATGGTTCAACATTATTTTAGTTCCCCACCCAACGGTGTGTAAATGTTTGTAGCATGTATATACTTTTCCCACATTTGGTGTCTAGCACAGCAGCCCTGTATTTATAATATGTATGCATGTTGTACAGTGCAAGATAGTGTATGTATACAATAACAATGTCAGAATTTTGAGCAATAATAATATTGTAATTATAAACATCTCATAACAATCGTATGTATAAGATGGTAATATGCTGAACTTCTCGCTGATTATAAAATTTTTGTAATTATATATCTTTCTGTGGGTTTGTTAAACACTAGAGAAGAATATACGATGTATACTTTATCGGCAGTTGCTCTGTAGTCAATTTCTAACACTTGGCAAATTTGTGACATCAGCTCTGGACCTACTATTCATAGCCCTAAACCTAACCTGAAAACCAAGCCAAGCCAAAAGCCTATATTTTGGACGAAGCAAAGACTGGAGCAAATGTCGAAAAAGTTGCCGGACCAAATGTCGGATCACTTGTTGGGTGATGTTAGAATGGCACATACGATGTAGCCTGAACAACAAAATAGTTCAAAAAAAGTTATCAGCAGTATACTGTGTAACGTCATCTGGTATGGCGTCTTATTGGTTTTGTGATCTCAATTTTTTAATTTCTTTGTCTACTTTTTACAAAATTATAACAGTTTCTTCATGAGCAATGGGTATTATGTTTACCTTTAACCCCAATGCCTTTGAAGATAATATGTGATGGCTGCTTGTAATACTAGTTTCGTGAAATGCTGGAGCGTTACAGGCTTCTTCATAGAATGTTTCCAGACACAAAACGTTGACTTGTAAGGAGAACTTTGTCACAACATCTATGTTGATTGTTAGCATGGTCTTTGAAATTACATGTAACTTTAACAATACAGTGTTAGAATCCTGCATTTTGATCTTCTGTGAACAATTATGTTGAATCCAGGGAATTGGGTATTGGTAAATGATATATTATGCAAATGATGCATGCCAAGGAGTTCATTACACGATCTATTCGCACTCGCGTTGAGGCTGAATGCATCTATTGTATGAAGCCGTCAAGCTCAGTATGATAAATGCATAAACAGCCTCAACGAGAGCCAATATCTCCTGTAATGAATGAATGAAAACATGCATCATTTGTTTAATACAACAAAACTCCTAGGTCCTTGTTATTTGATATAAAAATAATTAATTTTGAGATGGTTTAGTGTCAGTTTTCGCTGACAAATAAATCCTAAGTTTGATAGGCTCACTGTACTGCACACTCAGAGAGATGAGCGCACCTACCTCTATACACGTTTATGCCCAGTGCAGCTACGCAAATACAGTTGTTAACAGTATCAGTGCACTAACCTCAATGAGTATAGCGTACTTAAAAATCTTTGGATAGTACTGGAAATGAATGCACATTTTTTCATGAAGAAAAAAGTGGGATAGTCTCAGTAAATGAATCATACGTGGCCACGTTTGACCAATCATTTGATGAGGATCTAGGAGTGAGTTGTCTAATCTTTATTAATATTTTCACTCATTATAATAATCCTAAACGGTGATTATTTATTTCATGATATGCTGTACTCAAGTAACTTGATATTCAGAATGCCAGTTTACAATGTCTTGGGTCACTGTTTAGCTTTTGAAGAAATATATGATATGGTAGAATTATGAATTATTGACATCATTATGTAAAGTGAGGATACAGCTCCAAGCAGTTTTAGCAGCATTATTACAATGTAAATACTAATATACATCAAATCAGGCTTTATAACACAACTGTTGGGTTGGAAAGAAGTTAACAAAGCTGACAGTATCTAGCCTTATCAGGGGGCGGGAAGGGGGTGGTACAGTACCTGATATGGTATACAGAAATGGGCTGCTCTTGTGGGTCACTTTGTTTTTCTTCAAAGTATCCCTAAACATTATGTGATTTTGTTTTGGAAAATCCGTAACAATGGCTGCCTCACTTTTATATCTTGACCTTAAACATGGGTTACTATTTTCTTCACACTAAATATACGTACTCATATTCTTGCTAAAAGTGAAAATTCAAGAAGTAAAAAATAATTTTGACAAATTTGTACCTTTTCTAGCAAAAACTTAAAAACAGGTATGGGTTTCAAAGCTTTAGCCGCACACCTGCATCCCAAAAAATCTGAGTACCCTCCCCCCCCCCCCCCCCCCCCGGCCTTTTTCAGGCATATTCATTACCGGTATACAAAGATTTAACCTACCTTAGACCATAACTGAACTATGACATACATGTATTAATCTGTAAACCAGAATGAGAGCTTTTAAGCACATTTTGAAAATCAAGAATAATACGAGAGCGATTTAATCTGTCACCATGTACCAAAAACAATATCTTTATCATTGAATTGAAATAATGCATTTATCATCTAATCAAAGTAGGGAGAAAACTATATCAGTTATCCAGGTTGTAGAAGGGACATTTTTAATCAATAATGTCTAAATATGTACATTTCCTTTAAAAAAAAGTATATCATAATTATATCTCATTATCATATCTCGTGTTCAACAATTCATTTACATTATCTTTGAGAGAATGATTATAGAAATGATATGTCTGTGGTCAGTTTGTTCATTTCTGTTGATGTGTCGCATTAAGTTGGGTGTATTTATTTTATTGTACAAATTGAATTTTAACTACATGCATTTCTTTACCAGACCAATGCATTTGCATCAGAGTTTTGAGTTGAATTGTGAATTGGATTTTATTATTTCTGTTTTTAGCCAAAAAGAATTGTAAGAGTTGTTTTAAATGTTTATATTCTTGCTACCTCACCCAATGATGTACACAGCTCTATGCCTGTAATGTTGCTGTTTGATCAAAAGCAAAGGTTGCCCCGTCGCACATGGGTTGCAGTGAGATAGACTACTTTATATATTTGTCTGGAAAAAAACATATCAAGCATTGCTGAAATGGTTATGCCTAATAACATTGATTTGTTTTAAAAGGTTTGCCTACTGTTTTAGGGGAAATTGGCTCTTAAGGACCCAGAAGCTTGCCAGACAAAGCAACAGCTGATATATTCAAGATCAATTTATCCAGTTTGATGGTATTGTGAAGAACAATTTTATTAAACAGATCAACAGACAACTTTATATTATGGAATCCACCTTGCATATATTCACTGTTTCCATGTCAGGCAAGCTTCGAGCAAGGCTTTGGGTCATACACATCAAATTCTTGTGAATTATTCATGCCTGAAATTGAAATACGTAAGTGAACTGCCTTGTTCCAAATAGGCAGTCTCTTGAGTAAATGGGCATGATAATTCATGGTGTGGACGGGAATGTTTGTGACATCCTTCTTTGATAATCAGGGGGGTATTTCACAAAGATCTTTAGTCGAACTTAACTCTAAGTTTGACTTAAAAGTTATGAAGAACCATTTGTAGCCTTAGAATAAAATATATTCAAACGAGAAAATTCTAGTATTTTAGACTTTTTATAAATTCCACATCAAGAACATGAAATCTCCTTGAAAATAGAAAATATGAAGGATTCAAATGCCTTTTAAAAAGAAATTTTACAAAATATTACAAAATATAAGTTCAACTTTGTGAAACACCCCCTGAAGTAATATCATGTTGAGATCAGAAAGGTTGTTAACCTCCATGTTAGAAGAAGATGACATTTAGCTGTACCCAAGTACATTGTATGGAGACACTCTTAGGCTGAAATACATCATCCCATTGTGACGTAGGTAATGTCAAACAAAGGGAACTCATATTTATTCATTGGTGACAGACTTTCCGTTATCCAAAATAGGCCACCGAGGTGGATATTGTATAATTAAAGTTCTTTCAAATAATATTGGTTTTTAATGAAGAAATTACCGATCACTATAGATTCATCTGTTCGGCAGGACTAAGAAAATTTAATCGAGATTTGAGAAAACAGTTTTTAGATTAAAGGAAATACTTCATACAATCTAGATTTATATCTCTTATATAAGATATCTCCACAATATAAGATTTTCTTTTGTAATAGAAGCCGACTTGTAAAACTGCCATCGAAAACCTCTCAGTAGAGCATTGCATATCATTGTGTTGTCGGTATAGTAGATCTGTACTCAAGTCTGCAAACTGTTTTAATTTACATCTAATTTTCTCATCGCTTGTTACATATTCTGTGACATAATGAGGCTTGGTACTAAAGGAATTGAGAAAAGGAACTTACAATTGATCAAATCAATAAATTATTTTGTTGCAACTATGTTATTAAGAGTGTGATTTTCCATCGTACTCGGTTGCAAGCAGGACTAAAAGAATGAGACCAAACTCGAGAAAATTAATTTTGTGTAGATGTAAAGAAAGACGCTATGATAGTGATTCTGTAGTAATTTTATTGTCTTCACAATTCATTTCCATGTTATTTTCCTTTATTATCTACCATGTTGACCATTGTAATAACGGAATGAATGATTAATATTATATTATAGAGACTAAAATAATTATTATGATACTGTGAGAGGGAAATATTAAAATATAACACCATATTGACCCTTATAGAAGATGCCTTGCTGTTCCTTTGTATTTTATTTTGTGTGTGTGATTGTGACATTCCGAAGGGCAACACGTTAGCACCACTGATCTCTATCAAAAATTAAAATCTGGATAATCATGACTCATGATTTGAGTTGAGTTGATTGTACAAATACAGGGTATGAGGGTACAATTAAAAAATATATGTAATCTTATTAGGGTGTATATGTTATATAAAATGAGATAAACAATACATAATAGATACTCTGTATAAACTAGAGTAGATAAACAGTACCAACAAACATAATTTACAAGTAACGAGTGTTATGAAAATACACAAGTGATGCAACTATACACATATTAACCGTAGCTTAACAACTCTCCCACTACTTGATATATCTTCCATACATAAATACTTGTGCTATAAATACATATCTATATTATGTTTGGTTCTTGGAGGTTTAATATTTAAAGATACATGTTTACACCAAATAATGCGATGACGTAAATTATACTGCAAATGACGAATACCTGATATTTAAAAAGTAAAGATTCAATCTAAGATGCAGGCGGTTTTGGAAGAGAATAGTGAGTAAGTTAATTAATTGTGAAAATCTTATGGATTACGCTTTAGCAATCTTACCAACGTGTGTTAAATTTCTGATTGACCACGTATTGATATATTTTTTTTTTAATCCTTTTTTTTTTAAATAGTTTTTTTTTTTTCGGGAAAGTTCAATTCTAAAGTGTCTTTTGAGTGGACCGGAAAGTACACCCAATACACTCATATCTGGTGGGTGAGCTTTGTAGTAACCCCAAATTAACAACCTGAATTGATTTTTTTTTTTTTTTATAATGCTAAGCCAGCGAGTTATTGAAAAAAATATTCCAAAATGTCTAAAACTCTAAATAAAATAGATCAGTGGGCCCCTCAAATTATAAAACTGTATCATCTGCATATAAATTTAGTTTAATTTCTGTATTGCTTACTTTAATTCCTTTGATAATGGAGTCTTTTCGAATTGTAAGACTTAAAATGTATACCTTTGCTTTCTCTAACATCCAAAACGAATTAGAAATGGAAATAATAACAATGATGGCAAATGGCTATGACGATCACCACATTTCAACCGCCTTTTCGGGTCTAAAATTGCTGCCAAGGCACTATTGCGTATTGGGCAATTAGGGAGAGCCTTTTCAGCTTAGGGGCGGTGCCCCCGGTTCCCCCTCCCCCGCCCGCCTCTTAAACTGACGGAACGTACAGCCCCGATCGAGCACGTGGTTGCCTAAATCATGAAGAATGAAATGACATTGTAAGGCTTCTTTAATTTCACAACCTTGCAGCTATTACTGCTATTGCTGCCAATGATACAAGTGACATTATGTATGACAAGTATTAAGCATTAAGCTATTTTTTTTAATTAACTGTTTTAAAGATATTTTGATAGAAAAGAAAGCTGTCAAAAGTCATCGGTACAAATAACAAATGCTTTGTACAACTCCCCTCAGAATAGAAAATCTGAAAATATTTTGAGAAATCATGATCTATCCATAATGTCATATGAAATTAGCATCAAACTCTGGTATTATTTGGCATTTGTAGTGTTTGATTGCTTAACAATTTGCTACAGTTTACGACATATTATTGTCTTTCGTCCATTTATTTAAACAAATCTTTAGCCATGATCATCGACAAATGGCAGTGATGTGAGAAAGGGCCGTTTAGCTAATCGCCATATCAAGAGATTCCCATTTTTTAATGAAATAAATGGATGAAAGACATTGTGGTGTGTCTAAGATTCTGAAAGGGGCGTCCTCAATTCCCCGAGGGCCAACCTTAATTTTTTTTTTCCACGGTGCTTGCTCTACATTTTTTTCTTCTTCTCCTTTCCTTTTCTTTCCCCCATTTCGGCCACGATGAACGGTCCTCGTACGTTCTCGGGCGAGCGCTATGTAGCGCGCGCTCAATGTCATGGCATTCGCTGCTCCCCCTCTCTGCTGCCGGTGATTGACGAATCACAAGTCAAGGTCAACGCTGCCACCACCAGCTAAATACCGCAATTACAAACCCATTAACCGGTGTATATTTACTACTGCGAGAAGGAGTAAAGGAAAGAGGGGAAAAAACGGTGGAAAGTGGAAAGAAATATAACCCAAATACAGACGATATCTAAACCAGGTGTGCGAGAAAAGAATGCAAATCCTTTGTGCTTTGTTTAAGGACGTTGGAAGTCGCCGGATTTTGGGTCCTCCCTACGTGTACCTGTACCGGCCCATGTCGAATGCAATGGAGTGACTTGTTGTTATGGTCGGACCACCCGAGTACACATTTTGTCCGGGGTTACAAAGTACAGTGACCTTAGAATCAAAGCTCATCAAATTCATATGGCTTACACGCCCTTTTTACGATGTTCATTGTTTGGTGATTTTCTCTGCATGCACTCTTGGAAAATCTGAGAGGCAAAAAAGGTGTTAATGTAAATCCCCCGAGAACATAATGACCTTCTTGCTCTCAACAGCTGACAAATTCGATGAAAAGGTTGCTTCAGCCATAGATAGACCTCAGGCAAAAGTCTATGGAGAGGATCCCCCTTTTAGCACGTACCCATTTCCCCGCTGAAAACGCTTTGCATGACAGAATTTTCATTTGGGATTTGAAGGGGAAAAATCTGCCTCTGCCCACCCCCCCCCCCCCCAAATGAGGAGTGTGAGTCCTCCCTTATCAGTCTCGCCCTACAGTTTCCCTGAAGTCCAGTAAAATGTGCCCCCCCCCCTTCTCAATATTTTCAATCTTGTGGGCCAAGATGGGCCATCCTGGCACGTGTCGGGTATGATGATTCCTTTTGGTGACCCTACAAAATGACAGCTGAAGGGCCAACAACAGTTTGCTTAAAATATCGATATTTGTGATAAAAATGTGAATTGTTCCTAAATATCATAAAGCGACTCAGTTACAAGTGGAAAATGGCATAGGAAAAAACAAACAGGAAAAGGAAGAGATCAAGAGAGGGGGAGATAGAGAGAGAGAGAGGGGGGAAGAGAGAGAGAGAGAGGGGGGAAGAGAGAGAGAGAGAGAGAGAGAGAGGGGAAGAGAGAGAGAGAGAGAGGGGCAGAGAAAATACTGGGGGAGAGTGCGGTTGGGGCTACTTGTGCTTTTTATTATGGTCAGTCATATTTAGCCCCAACAACTTCAAAATTGCCATCCAAGGTCCCTAAAAAGGGTCACGTAAATGTCAGAAATGGGCACAAATCACGTACTTATACACCACTCTAAATGATAGCTGACAGCCGGAAACCAATCAGCCAATTTTCCCCAATTATCACCCCGGCAAAGATTAAAACGGTGGCTAATATTCAAAACCGTGCCAAAGTCATTAGTATTTTTTATATACTTTTTGAACTATGCTCTAAAATGCACAGCGAATACGTTGTCATGCTTTGATGAAATGACGATAATATTTTATTTTCTTTAGCGCATAAAAGTGTAACGTCCCTTTGCTCTGCAAAAAGAGTCTTTCAAATTGATAACCCCGCTTTAATTGCTCAGGCAACTGTAATCAGCATACAATGCATTTCAAGGAATCATTCTACCAGGTACACACTCACTACACCTTG